TGTTGGATCGCGGCAGCGGCGGCCGCACGGGGCAGCGCTGGAAGCGCCCGGCCCCGGCGGGATCCGGAGCGTCTGCGCTGCATTTTGGGGTGTCAAAGCCTTTTCCCTTTCCTTTCCCCTCTCCCCTTTCCTCTTTCCCCTTTCCCTTTCCCTTTCCCCTTCCCCCTCTTCCCTTGCCTTTACTTTTAACTTTTTCTTTTTCCCTTTTCATTTTCACTTTTCCCTTTTCCGTTTCCCCTTTTTAGTTTCCCTTTTCCTTTTTTCCGTTTTCCCTTTTTCGCTTTTCCCCCTTTTTCTCTTTTCCCCCTTTTCCCCCTTTTTTCCCCTTTTCCTTTTCCTCCTTTCCCATTTCTCCTTTTCTTTTGATGTCTTTCCCAGACCTCCCAGCAGTTTATAAACCAGCCCAGCACTGGAGGGTGCCTGTCAGTTGAACATCCTGGAATCACAGTTGTGTAAATCCTGGAATCACAGTTGTGTAAATCCTGGAATCACAGTTGTGTAAATCCTGGAATCACAGTTGTGTAAATCCTGGAATCACAGTTGTGTAAATCCTGGAATCACAGTTGTGTAAATCCTGGAATCACAGTTGTGTAAATCCTGGAATCACAGTTGTGTAAATCCTGGAATCACAGTTGTGTAAATCCTGGAATCACAGTTCTGTAAACCCTGGAATCACAGCTGTGTAAATCCTGGAATCACAGTTGTGTATCTGACACAGCCAAAATCTCAGTGATGCCCCACCTCACCCCACATGCTCCTGAGCTGTCTCCCAACCAAACCTCAGCACCATGGCCACCTCTGCCATGTGCTCCCTGAGGTGACCCTCTGGCTATCGAGCCCTAGAGGAGTGGTTGCTTACACCACAGGTTTTCCCTGGCTTGAAGAGAATAAAAAGCCCCATTGGTGACAGCAAACATGTAAAGAATGTGCCAGGTTGTTTTGTTTTGCACAGTGCAAAGCTGCCCCTTTCCCTACACTGCTTTGTTTTATCTCATTTTTTTGTGGTTACAAATTATCTTCTTTTCTTTCCCAACCCCCAAAACTTTCTCTAGATGCAAACTGTCGCACCTGAGTGAGTGTGGTAGCAAGCTGTCCTCACCTTTATCTGCTGCTGTTGGACAGATAAATCCACACTACAGCAGAGTACTTGCAGATTACTATCTTTCTTGTGTGAAAATTTGCCTCAGTGTAAGTGGCATCGGGAGATGGGAAAGCAGAGCTTCAGGTACTCCACCTTTCTTTCACCAGGTCAACAAGGAGATTGATTTTTCTTCTGCTATACCAACAGCTTGTTTTTTATTCCTACTCTGTCTGAGAAGGATAGGAGTTGGGGGTGGGGGGGGAAGAAAGACAATTTTGAGGGACCAGTTCTGCCCCTTGCAGTTATTGAAGGGATGCCTACCACAGTGGGTGGAAGGAGAGGTTTTTGCCAAGGCAGACAGTCTGATCATCTCTCTGTCTCACATAAAATCAGTGGGTCGTTAATGTTTGAGCCAGCCTCTTATTTCACTGCAGTTGTCTGTGTTGTCAAGGCTTTCCTCAATACATCAAAAACCTGAAGTACTAAACAGCCCCAGCTATGGCTGGAACAGGAGTTATTCTTGATCTAGAGCAAACTCTGCTGAGGGCCACTCTTTCTGTGATATTTGTGACACTGAGCAAAGCGACTGACCAACACAAGATGATTATTTTTCCCTTTGTGCTCCCTTAGGTTAAAGTTTTGAGAGGATGAGGGTTACCTCCAGGACTGAATCCTGCTTTTGAGCTGATGGATGCATTGCAGGCTCTGCTCCCTTTGCACCCTCAGCTTCCCCCAAAAGAGGAGGAGACACATGTCTCCAGGAGCCAGAAAACCAACCTCTGGCAGCCGTGGATTGTGTGAGATATTTCATTTACAAAGGCAGGGATATTTGTACCATCACCTTCCTTGATGGCTCCCCAAGCCTTGCTCTGCCAATAGAGATCAGTGCAGAGAGGTCATTAGGAAGAGTAACATGAATGCCTTGTGAAGATCAGGAGGCTGTTCTGAAGAAAGTCCCTTCCAGTTCTGAATTTTACAGTGATCCAACTGGCTGGAAGGTGCAGTTTGTTTTACCTGATTGCTTTGGTCTTTAAAAAGTCTAGTAAATACCTAAGAAGAAGAAAGAAGAAGAAGAAGAAAGTGGTTAACCTGGTTAAAAAAAGAAAAAATCCACCCCAAATTGCACAATGGAGGGAACATCTGTCTCTCTGTGTCAGTGATGTTAAACTGGGGTTTCAGTGACAGAGGGCTCAGCCTTGGCCAGGTTTTCCAGCTAAATTGAAAGGAACATGGTAATATCTGAAATGCTACTTGCTCGTGTGCTTGTGGCTTTGTTAAGCATGGAGATCAACAGAAGTGCATAGGTAACATCTCTCTTTACACCTGAGCCTGTGAAGTGAGGATGAGCTAGCTTAATGGCTCTCACTTCTTATTGAAATCCCTCTTTGCTGGGTATCCCGGGATTTACAGTCACGAATACCTTTCAATAAGACATCTCTCAATCAAGACAGACAACTCTATTTACAGGGCAACATTTTTCACCTGCTTGTCAGCACGTCAAGCAATACCAAAACACACAATCTCCTCCTGAATCCCACAAGCAAATCATTCATTTTTTAAAACATCATCATGTCAGTAATGGTGTTGGAGATGGGTTAAGACAGCCACACCTCTGCTTCATACCTATGGAGAGAGGAGAGCTTAGAGCATCTGCCTGAGAGGTGCCACCGTTTAGGAGGGAGACCCTTCCCAGCACTGTTTTGCTGTTTGGCTTTTTCCCTTGAAGTTAACTGTAGCTATAGTTGAAAAGCAAAATAAAACAAAAAACAAACAAAAACCCCAAACCAGTGGGCTATTAATAAGTCAGTTTAATGTTGACAATGGCACTTTGCAGTGGGAGTGTAATCTGGTTAATGTTCCAGAGCAGAACAACCTGTCAGTTCACATCCCTTTTGTTAGCAGCGGTGGCAATGCTTCCCCTAGAAGTTAAAGCCATGTGTCTCATTTCTGAGAGAGGATTACTCATAAAAAAGATGGATAAATTGACTGCCCAGTCCACAGAAGGAAAAAACCACACAAGGGGATAAATTATGAGAACTAAGATGGGCAAACAGATTTCTACAACTCGTGTATGTAAAAACCTGTGCCTGGTAGACTTGAGCTGTGCCATTTTAGATGCATTTCTCCAACCCATGTAAATATTTCTCTGCATTGGAAAAGAATGAAATTTCATTTTTCATCAAAGCTCTAGAGTGATCTTGTTATTGAAAACAGAGGGAAAAGATATATCAGGAAGGCAAAGCAGTTGCAGCCACATAGTTGTTTTCAATAATCCAGTGAGTCACTGCATAGAAGAGCCTTTCATTTCTCCCTGTGGTTCAGACTAAATTGTTTATTAAAATTTTGGTGCATTGTTTAAAATTAAAAAAAAAAAGGGAAATTGTACCTCTTTATTTTAAAGACTGTTGCAATAAAAATTCAGATTATTCAAATTTATCGTGTGCATTTTATAAGGCAGTAACCAGAGCAATTTTTAACTCATACCACAAGATATTCCCTGGCTTTTCCATCTCATTCATAGTCATACATAAGGAGGCTGTTTACAAGGCTACAGGGAGAAAAAAAATATTATAGAAATGAAAACTTGATCCAACCAATGGCTGGATTTGTAATGAAAGACCTATGTTGAAGGTAAACAGCAGCCTAATGTAATACTTTAAAGGCAGTTCTTGAAAAGTGATTTATAATAGCTGCAAAGGGGATCAGTACTTCAGCTCTTCACCCATGCAGAGGTGTGGAAGAGAAGCTAATTGCATATGTAGCTATAATGCACACTGAGCAGCCAGAACAGACAAATAAAAATATTTAAGATATTTCACTTTTTTTAAATCACAAGGTCATGAACTTGTATTTTGTTTTTGTTTCTTTTTCCCCAGGAAATTGGACAGGAGGCTGGCTGAAAGTGTACCAGAGCTCTACAGGGATTTCTTGTGCCTTTTCAAGGAAGGATTTGCTGTGTTCTAGAATGTGTAAATATTGTTCAGGGCTTGTTTTGTTTTGTTTTTTATCTGAAATGCTTGCCAAGGAAATAGAACTGTACAAACATAATTAGCCAGAGGCTGAACATTTAATCTTAAATTCTGAGTCTTCATTAAGTCTTAATTTAAACCTTAGGAGGGAAGCTTGCAACCATTCCTGTTCATAAGAGTGGATAGCATTTGTGGCAGGTTTTAATGGCAGAAGAGGGAAACCACTCCAGTGGGGAAAGCTTGGAAAACTCTCCTGAAGCCAGTAAGTGGTCAAGTGGTTGTGTCATGGATAATGGGACAAGATCTGGATTCAAGTCACCTCTTGTGTGGTCAAAGCAGGTCATGGTGGATGGGACTTTGGGCAACCTGATCTGGTGGAAGGTGTCCGTGCTTGTGGGGTTGGGATCAGACGGGCTTGCAGCTCCCTTCCAGCCCAAACCATTTTGTGGCTAGGAGTTTAAGAATGTGGTGTGGGAGAACTGGAGGGCTTGTGGGTTGAAAAAATGAGTGCTTTCCCTTTGCATGAGTTACTCAAATCAGGATGGCATTTTAGGGGTAGGGTTTTGGTTTTTTTCCCCACAGGTGATCTGTCCATGTGTGATCTTCCAACAGCACTGTTATTTTTACCTGAAAAAGGGACAATTTCTGAATTTGAATCAATTGTAATCTATCAAATAAACTGCTAGTACCTTTTATTTTTATCTCAATTTATGGAGAAAAATTTCTACACTAGGCATGATAGGGGAAAAAAAAACCTAGAGGGAGAAAAATTAAATAAAACAAATCCTTCTATTCCCTTCTGCAAGCACTTTTATGATCTGGGAAGTTGTGGAGGAATGTGAAGGTGCTGTGATTTCTCCTACACTTTCCTTTGCCTTTTTTAATAAGAGCTATCAAATGACATCTTTGTGAGGAACACGCCAGACCCTCTGCACATCAAATAAAGTCCAAAAAGCAGCAGAATTAATTCCTGTGACTGTTCATGCCAAATCTGTTTTCTTGTTCAGTGTTGTTGGCAGGGGTCATAATTTGAAGTAGCCTTCTTTTTTTTCCCAATCACCAAATATTCAGAAAAGCAATAACAGAGGTTAAAAATAAATATGAAAATCGATTTTAAACCTAAATAACAAGACTTATACAGTATCTAGTACTCATTGAAAGTTTCTTTTTCTAGTGCATGCTTTAAAAAAAAAAAAAAAAGTAGTGCAAGAAGAGAGCATTCACCTCACAAATGGCTGGATTCCAGGAAAGAAGGAAAAAAAACAAAAAAAAAAAGGCAAAGAAGGGAAAATTTGGGCGGAGATTTGCATGGCTGCCTGCAGACAAGGCGACCCACTGGCCTGCTGCCTGCTCCTGCCCTGCCAGCGGAAGTTTTGCCCTTGCCTTGGCAGCAGCACCCTGAAATGCTTCTCGGCTTTGTGCCGCGGCTCCTGGTGGGCTCCAGGCCCGGGGAAGGCAAGGAGGGGGTGTCCTGCATGGAAAAGCATCCCCATGTGAGCCACCTGCCAAACAGATACCACCCAGATACCACCTCAGCCCCACTGCTTCTGCTTTTGCCACTTGGATGAGGACACGTGAATTCAATCCCTAGGTTTGTAACAAGTTGGGTGCTAAATCCTCTTTGGTGCAGTTTGCGAAGTTATTGAGTGCTTCTGCTCACCTTGGCAGCTTCACAACTCCTACAGCTACGTGGAAAATTTAGAATAATAGAACTGTTTAACATGGCAACAGCGACCTGGATCCTGGAAGGATCTGACTGGAGCAGTTCCTACAAATCAACCCAGTATGAACTTCTAAGCAAACGGGCTGGTCCCCTGTGAGCGACCGAACATCTTGTCCTGTGCATGTTAACAGCAAAGCCTGAAATAATGGAGACTTTTGGAAACCAATTTTGATAACCAGACTCTATTTGTAAGGTATTTAGAGCTAATAAAGCTGCTGTGGTCTTGGGGGTGCCCTTTTCCTTGAGCACAATGGGAAACTCTTCTTGTCAGGATTGCTATAGAAACAATGAATTATCAGGCAAACGGGACCATCCGGCAAATTGTGCCAGACGGGGAATGTGTGCTGATAACGTGGCAGCGTTAATTTGCTCTATTTTGTTATAAGTAGAGCTTGCATTGCCTATAGAAATGTAAAGAGGCAGGTGAGCTGGAGTGTCTATTATTTATACACACAGTTTGTGCTGTATAAATGAATTTTTCATAGGAAGACTTTTTAGGAAAAAAAGGCTTCAGAAAGTACTTCGTAAATAATTATGACTGGGAGCTTCAAATGTGCTTTGAAGAATGGGTGGATCTCCTTTAGCACCCCTTAAAATTTTTCAGCTACAACCATGAAGGTGTTGTAGAATGGGGTGCTTTGACCATGTGGGAGATACCCCAGCCCCATTATTCACAGCCTTTAGCACAATAATGCTGAACCATGGCTTGCATTGCCTTCTGTCATCTCACAAAACTGTGTCACCCATAAGCAAATGCAAATATTATCAGTATGTTGATGTGCTTGTACTGTATGGCTTGAGAAGTCAGCACCAGACTGAAGTATGATCCAAAAACAAGAAAGATGCAGAAGCTCCTTGGTATCAAGTGGACAACCGCTATATTAACTGCATTTTTCTCAATGCCACTTGGGAGGATGTTCCTCTATTTTTAAAAAGAAAGAAGACATGAAATGTGGCAGGAAATCATTGAGCTGAGAGGAGTTTGGCTTCAGATGTGAGACACACCACCATGATCACAGAGAAGGTAGGGGAGAGGTGGGAAAGGATGAGTGAGAGAGGACTAGGCAAGAGAACGCTGTATTTGGATGTAATATATGAGCTGGGAAGAAAACAAAAACGCCCATGTTTTTGCATGTGGGTGATGGGAAAAATACTGCATCTTCTACTGGGCTAATGAGGGTGGTGAGGCACTGGCACAGGTTTCCCAGAGAGGTGGTGGATGCCCCAGCCCTGGAAATATCCATTGAGGGTCAGGTTGGATGGGCTTCTGAGCAACCTGATCTAATCGAAAGTGTCCCTGCTCATTGCAGGGGGTTTGAAAGGACCTTTAAATCCAACCTAAACTATTCTGTGATTCTGTGAAATGTAAGTGAGGCCCTTGGAAAAGCAGGTTTCCAAAAGGTTTGATATATACAGGAGGACCAAAAAAAGAAGCAATATGATGCCCTAATTCAGAGCGGACATCACAGACCTGTGTTAGGACTCTTACAATAACTGAGTACTTAAATCTTTTTGCTATGAATGAGATATAAACACCACTAAAACCCAAGTATAGTCTAAAATGTTCTCTTGAGATCAGCCTTTAGTTGCAGAAAGTACAATTACGAAGCCTATGTTGTACTGGCTGCTGCTGAAATTTTGTCTTTATAAGATATTTTTCCTATTATCTAATTGGGTGGCTTTTTTCAGGTTCCCAGAGTACTCTTCTTTGTGCTTCAAGGGAATTTTTGTTGCTCCTCAAACAATAATTCTGAAAAAAATACGTCACACACACAAAAAAACCAAACTAGAGCATTGCACCACCCCACAATGGGTCCAGTGTTGATGTCGGATAACTGTCCCCAGTGAATGCGGAGCTCACATCTCTCTGCCTTGCCTGGAGCTCCACTCTGCTCTGCCTCTGGGGTTATGATATCATCTCTGAAGTCCTGCAAACACAGCTGAGCTCCACACTGCTCCCATTGTAGGTCCCACTTCTCAAAACATGGAGCTGGGGATCTCGGCCAAGCAGCAGAGTATCTCTGCAGGAGATGGAGGAGGTGGGGATACCTCCATGCCACTCTTTCTCCCCACAGATGTTCACCACGGTTATCTGCAAAGGCCATGTACTTCCAAAGAGCTGCTCACCTGGCTGTGCACATATAGAGCAAAGAGCTGCTCACCTGGCTGTGCACATATAGAGCCTGTATTTATCCTTCTGCTTCTCCAGGTGTGAACTGAAAAGCCTGCACCTGTAAAGAAACCCCACAACTGTCTTGACATCAGTTTGAGGTGGGTTATTTCCAAGGGTCTCAGCTGTCTGCCGGTGAGAAGCCATCTTCTTCTTGCACAAGCTTTCTTCTTGCAGGGGCTTTTGGCTGCTTATCACATGTGAGTGAGGCTGTGCTGGGAGGCAAGAGGATACCCAAGAGAATATTTCTCTCACACCAAGTGTCTGTATTTGTGCAGAGAAGCCTGCTTCCAGCTTCGTGCACTTGGGCACGTGTTGCCTAATCCTTCTCTGGTCCAGCAAGCGGGAGGGACCTGGAGCTGGTTATATGTGTCCCAGCTTGGCCAGCTCTGGCGCCCTTGACATTGCAAGGAGCAATGGAAACAAAGTGATGTGTTGACCTAATGCCCTACATTGCAGGGCATTCAAACCTAGGCAGCTCTCAAACTGCCTGCTGAGGTTTGGCCCCATGTGGCGTTTTCTGCTCTGCTGCATCTTCTCCAGCCCTCCTGCCTCTGCACCATCCCGGGCGTAAGCAAAGCCAGGGGTTTGGAATGCGTGTTTCTGGCCGCAAAGTGAAGTATTTTCTGCATATCAAGTACTCATCAGCGACTGGGAACGCAACCAAGGATGTAGGGGAGGAGAGGAGGAAACCACACTTGATCCCACAGAAACCACAAACCTAATTTCACTGAAGGCAATTAGCCAGGCACTCATTTGGTTAGGGTGGCTGTGCTACTTTGTAAAACATGACCTTTTAATGAGCTGGGGAGGTGGATCTGCCTTTCTGCTAGTCTACACTGGCAAAGGAAAACCACCAGCAGTTAATTATCATCAGGAGACGGGAGCAGGGGTGAAGTGGCCCTCAAAACCATCTCTGTGCACTTCCAAGTCCTGCATTGCAAGATGGGATCGTGTCCCTGATCCCATGCCATCACACTCAGCTGCCCTTCCAAAGGCACCAGGATGCTGCAGCATCCTTGGTTGGGCAGTGCTGACTCAGGCACAGGGTCCTGTGCCCGCTCCCTGGCACTGCTGTCCCCCAGATATTTCACAACTAGATATAAAAATCCCCGAGTTAGATGCTTGTGGCTGTGCTCCCTGCAAGGGGAAGCAGTAAAAGGCTGATTTATGCTCTGAACCACAAAAGCCTTTTATTGCTGCTTTTTTTTTTTTTTAATGTAACTGTCTTGCCCTTAAATGTCTAATCCCTTTCTAAGAGTCTTGTGGAAGTAGCAGGGCTCTCCATGGGTTAAAGGCGGTGCTTCTCAAGAGGATCAAGCTGTCCACCAGGTCCTCAGAGCCTCTCTTGCCCTGGCACAGCCAGTCCTCCTGTCAGCAAGGGAGGAGGGCAGCAGTAAGCCATGTGTTGCCAGCATGGTCCACCACATTCTTCCAGCCCTCAGCTTGCTGGGGTTGTTGGAGAGTTATTCCATCACTTGTAGTATTCCCTGGCAGTTTTGGGCACTGCTGCTCCTTAAGGGAAGAATAAAAACCCCAAGCTGATCTAACAGAAACAGGGATTTAGGAGTTTGACTCCAGGCATATACTTTTAAAGATATTGCCCAATTATTTCTTCATTTTTATTAATTGTGATTAGTCATTTATGGCCCCTTTTAAATTCAACTTCTCAAGAAAAATATTGCTTTAGAAAAAAAAAGGAAAGTCATTTCATGAACAATTAGCAAAAGCTACAGCTGCACCATAAAAGAGAAATACTGGTGGGGGAGGAATGTTTCAGATTGACTGGGGCATGGAAGTTGTCAAATGGAAAGCCAGCTGAGATCCTAAGGAAGAGGTGATGCTGGAGAGGGGCAAAAGTACACAGTGTGGCATTGCTCAGTTCATTGTCAGGCCTCATGTTAATTAGTGGCTTTATTAATGATTTGGAAGTGATGAGAAGTGTTAATTGCATCAGAAAATGATACTACATTGGAAAGAGCTGAAACAGAGGTGAGAGCAGAAGAAAGAACAGCAAGAGAGGCAGGGAGGGCTGAGGGGTGTAAGAGGGATTTGATTTCATTCAGGCTCTGGGGGCTTTTCTATAGTTTCCCCCAGTAAAAGAGCAGCAATGTTTGTGGACACGGATAGAGCCCACGGAGGTCAGACAGGAGGGTTTGGTTTGAAGCAAGAACCATGGAGACCCTTCCTGTCACCCTTAAGGGAGGAACAGAGACTTGCCTGTAGTGTAGGGCAGGCAGAGTCCCTGCACAACGAAACTGATAGGCGTGGAGGGGCAGCTGACTTCAGAAGACTCTAGACTGTATAGCACAGTGTGTTTAAAAGAAAACTGTAGAAAGGTAATTCTAATCCCTCTTGCTGCGCAGCTGAACTGAAGGAAGAGGGAAAACAAAACCCAGATTAATGTAGAAATTGCATTTAATGATCATCTCGAGAAGCTATCGGACAGAATCAAGGGAGTGAGCTGCCACAAGCTATTAAGGAGGAAACCCTCTGCCCACCGGATGCCAGTGTTGCCCAACATTAAATCATATGGAGAAAACTCCTCTGGCAAGAGGATATTTGGTGCTTAAAGACACCCATCACTCCAGCTATCCAAACACCACCACATTCTAAAGCACACCTGCAACTTACTTGGTGACACAGTTAAATCTATTTGCAACTCACCATTCTGGAGGTAGGCAAAGGTGACAAAGCCAAGGACGAAGCACTGTGTAAAATTTTAGTTTTACTGAGCAGGTCCTAAAGAAGCCCAAGCAGAGTTTTATTGCACGGCTCCTCGGGCTGACAGTCTCCATTAACCATCGGTTAATACTGCAGCGTCAGAGCGAACCCGGAGTCACGGCCCTGTGCTGTTAGAAAGTGTCCTTCATCCCAGCAAGAGACCTCGGGGTGAGAATATTTTGCATGAAGAGCCACTGGTGTAAGAGCTGAGCCTCTCAGCTCTGCATTGCAGTCAGCGTGTGGTGTGCCATCCCTCCACGCCACAAATAAATCTACAATTTCTCAGCTGGGTGCCTTTGGAAGCCACATACTAATACGCTTATATGGGAAGAGAGACCAGACAAGGTTCAAATAAAGAGCTCATGTAATAAATAAACATGAGGTCAGTACGAGAACAGCAATAATTGCTTTGTATGACAAGATTTGCATAGCAAACATTTGTGATTAATGTACAGCCGGCGTCAGGTAAGGAGCCTTCACTATCGTTGCTCCATCTGCACCTTCCAATCTAGAAGGTACAGCAGCTCCAGCCAGAGCAATTAGTCACTGTTTACTGAGAGGCAGATTGAGCAAAATTTTTCTAGTTCAATATTTGAGTGAGTTTTGCCTCACAGCCTCCCGTTGGATCCATTTCTGTGCCAGGCAGGGATCACGCTTCTTTCCTGGGGGTGCCAAGGTGGCAAGCACTGCTGCTAATCTGCTCTGCAAGGGCATGGCCTGAATCCCAGCCTCTCCTGCTGGCTTCACCCAGGTGGTGTTCCCAGGGAAAACCCTAAGGAAGAGGCTGAAGACCCTGCATCTCAAGGCTCTGCTTCCCAGCTGCCTCTTCTTTCACCTGTCTCTGCCTGCCTGTGAACTGCCCCTTCGCCACCACTGATGATGGCAGTGGGATGCAGCACCGAAGGCAATGAAACCTCCTTCTTTACAGCCTCCTTTCTGCAAAGCCTAGCTAATTCGTTCCAGCTAAACTTTCAGCTCTTTGGCAAGAACCATAATCTGACTTGAAATACTATCTTGATTTGGGGATTTTTTTTTATTTTTTTTTTTTTAAAAGCATGCAAGCCTCTGGCCTCTCTGGAAAGGAGGCAGTTTGACTGGAGGGACTGATTCCTCTGAGGTTAATTCCTATGGGAAAACCATTCCATTGGAGCCTGTTGGAGGGAAGGCACTTACTGCTGTGGTCTTCCACTTAATCTGCTTGGGGGTGCCAGGGAAAGCTGTTGGCATCACCGGGAAGTCACTCCAAGAAGTTGCACAGATCTTGGAAGGGCATAAGGAGAGTTCCTTCATGTTGATGAGATCTAGAAAGGCTTGGTCAGGATAAGCAGGCTTCAAAACCTAGGGCACACGTTTTGGGGACACGAAGTGAAGAATTGAAAGTGTTCTTCCCTTGTGCACTTGCACTGTTCAGTTATGACTGAGGATGCCAATCAACACATCAAGAATGATAAATGGCAGCTGCTGTCTCCCACCTGTGATGAGATGTCGAGATTTTCAGTTGCTGTCTTGTTGAGACAAGCCTTGATGAGACACCGGTCCCCTGGACCTGTTGGGGAGGACATTTGTGTCAGCATTTCACCCTTGTGCTGGAGTGGGTGGTAGTGAGGGGGATACTGGGCTGATGCTTGCAGGATCTTGGCACTGCAGCTGTCCCCACCTGTGAGCATTTAGGAGGTGCCACCAGGCTGGCAGGGGACATCAAGAGGGGGGTGCATTGGTGGGAGATGCCATTACACCTCTGTGCCCCACAGAGCTGGCGGCAGGATAGAAAACGTGGCTCTCATCAGCCGCTTCAGTGCCAAGTCCACCCACCACCACCACACTGATGAGAGATCTCCAAGGCTGCCCTGCTGCCTTTAAAACCTCTCTCTCTCCTTTCCAGCCCTTCCACCCTAAAGCTTTCCACCTGCCTCGGCTGAGCACCGGGAAGCCCTGTCTGTACTCACCTTGGTGCTGAGAGCGCAGGTGGGGCGCTCTTCTTTGCCTGAGGGGCTGTGAGCATTCACGGAAGTGGGTGTTTTGGGGCAGAACCCAGGGAGAAGGGTGATAACGCCACGATCTCGTCCGGATCAGGTGTATGGCTGGGTCCCACAGCAGAGCGGAGCCTGGGCGCGCTTCACGCTGCCCACGATGCTCTTCACACTTCAGCTGCGGCCGCCGCTGGGACGGGCTCAGCCCGCACCGGGGCCGCTGTTGTTTCGGGGGGCTGTGTCGGGAGGTGCCCCTGTGCCTCCCGGAGCAGGGCCGCTCCCCGCAGCACCTCAGGGGACGGCAGAGCTCCCTCGGGGGCCCGCTCCCGCCGGTGTTT